TTGTAATCCCAGCTCCTGGCAGAGTGCGGATGCAGACATGACAAGTTCAGTGTCTTCCTGTGCTACAGAGTGAGTTCAAAACTAGCTTGGGCAACTTGAAATCTGGTCTCAAAAAGTACCAGAAAAAAAAAAAAAGATTGGCGATGTGGTTCCATGGTACAGCATTCCCTAGTATTTGTGAAACCTGAGGTTCTGTCTTTAAAACCAGAGGTGGGAGGTTCTGGAGGTCAGTCTGGCTACATAGTGATACCCTGACTTAATAAAGCAACAATAAACAAAATAAAGATAGCAGAAATGGTATCAGAACCAGTTTAAACAATCAAAATTAAATGCAAGTTTAAATATACTGTCAGATAGCCAGACGCCATGGCACAGGACTTTAATCCCTGAACAGGGGAGGCAGAAGCAGGTGGAGCTCTGTGAATTTAAGGACATCCTGGCCTGCATAGTGGGTTCCAGGTCAACCAAAGTTATGTAGTGAGACACTGTGTACTGGCTGGTTTTATGTCAACCAGACACAAACTAGAATCATTAGAGATGAGGGAGCCTCTCTGATGAGAAAATGTCTCCATAAAATCCAACTGTAGCTGGGCCGAGGGGCTTTAATCCCAGCACTCAGGAGGCAGAGTCAGGCAGATCTCTGTGAGTTCGAGGACAGCCTGGTCTACAGAGTGAGATCTACAGGCACCAAAACTACGTGGAGAAACCCTGTCTCAGAAAAAAAAAAAAAAAAAACAAAACATCCAACTGTAAGGAAATTTTTTTTCTTTTTTGTTTTCTTTCTTTCTTTCTTTTTAATTAATACTAATTTTTTAATGTGAAAATAACTAAGCCGACTTTTTAAAGCAAAAAAGCCATAACAATACAGCACTATTTCAATAATGAAATGCCCATAAAATGGTATTAGTACAAAGATCTAAGCAAATCTCAAAGACTTAGATTAGTAATTAGAACATCATGCAATATTTATTTTAGCAAGAAGCTTAATAGGTAAAAGAAGCAACATATGACATTATAAATTCAAGTATGCAATTATAATTTACAAATTATAAAAATTCTCCCTTTTCATAGCCAGTTGCTTTTGAATGGTGAAATTTTTTTTTAATAAGTTTTTTTTTTTAAAGATTTACTTATTTATTTTGTATACAGCATGTATGACCAGAAGAGGGCACCAGATCTCATTACAGATGGTTGTGAGCCACCATGTGGTTGCTGGGAATTGAACTCAGGACCTCTGGAAGAGCAGTCAGTGCCCTTAACCTCTGAGCCATCTCTCCAGCCCTGAATGGTGAAATTTTAGCGCCGCCCCCTTAACTGAATGCCTGCTCAACAAGCCAATTGAACAAACACGTCCACCCAAATTTACATCCCAGAGTACCTAAGTAAACTGAAGGCACTATTCAGGAGAATGAGTTCTATTCATTTTCGTCATCTGTGTGATCAGGTTGCAAAGGACGTGCTTTTCTCTTTGCTGTTCCTAAGCCACTGCACCCGGCTTCTTCCGGAGGAAGCTGGTTCTCTTTTTCCGAATCTTTGGGGGACAGCCTGAAGAACTCTCTGATGCCTTTTTGCCACTTCGGAGTTGGGCGCACACAAACTGGGTTCCCTCCCGCATACTTATTTTCAGCTTTTCTCGACGAACACGATGCAGAATTGGCGACAAAGGTGGAGGAGCCAAGCACCTTCCTGGGGCTCAAGAGGCCACCACTTTTCTGTAGCCTCCTGGGACGTAGTTTGTTTTGGTCTGCACCTTGTTCCTACAGGAAGAGACAACTCGCACCGACGCCCCAGCTGCTGATGTCTTAACTGGACAAGCTCTTCCTTCCTTCCTTCCTTCCTTCCTTCCTTCCTTCCTTCCTTCCTTCCTTCCTTCCTTCCTTC